GACACTTTGGAAGGTTCTTTTATGAAGGGATGTGTCTCTTGGATCAATGGACATGTCTTTTGAATTCAAAAGAGTTGACTTTTGGACAGAATTTTTTTTTTTGAGAGGGAGACAACTTTTAATAAAAGAGAAGGAAGTCTAGGGCTTGAAGAAAAGAGAAGAGGAGTTTTGGGCGTTAAAGTCAAGGGCTTGAAGATTTTCTTCAATGATTGTAAGAAGAGAGGGAATGTGAGAGATTTTTTCTTCAATACACCTTCATTAATTTCTAAGATAGAATTGAGAGTGTTTGTAAAGAGAGAAAGTCTTGGCGAAAACTTCTGGGGATTTCCTTGGGAAGGATCGTGAGATATGTTGTGTCTTTTATTTCTTTTGTATTATAAACTTGTATTTATATATGAAATCCATGTTTTGTCATATCCTTCTCATGAATTATGAGTAGTCTTCTTTGACCTTCTCCCTACTTTGAGATGTGGTTTTGTGAAGAATTGATTTTTTTTATACGGTTTTAAATGCCAAAAATTTCGGTTTTAAATGTCAATAATTTGTGATGATTTGAACTTTGATCTTCATTTACTTTTTGATATGGCCAATTGAAATATTAAAATGTGTTGAGAAACATATATTCCAAAAGGGCTATGATTTCTACAACATGGGGAGAATCACATTCGATTTCATGAGAGAGTATTCCATTCTTGGAATTGGGTGCAAATAAATAGGGAAATATACTTTGTTGGATATAGAATTAAAGATTTTAAGGTGACAGATTAAAATCCACAATTTGGTACAGTTGATTGGAAACTGATGCGAGATTGTTAGCCCTCAGGGGAGAGAGTAGTGGGAGCTCTGGAGTGGTAGCCAATATCCTCCCAGCCTAACCATGGAATTAGAGACCAAACTCTGTATTACTCAATATTCTTTATGCACTCAGAAGAGGATAAATAATTTGATTACTTCTATTTGACACAAAATAATTTTTATATATATTCTCAAATGATTTTAATTTCTTCACAAACCATATACTCATTCTAAAGGGGAATGATGCTTTATTAAATTTGAACTTTTCTCACAACATCTTAGTTTTAATTTTCGTTAATTTACTTTTGAAAGTTTAGCATTTAGTTTAGTTAACTTTATCTTTCAACTGCATTTTAATTAGCATTCACTTGTTACTTAATATTCAAACTTCGCACTTGACTTTTTGTATTTTTAAAATAGTACTTGACATCATAATCTTAAGAACTTATTTACAGACATTTCCAACTTCCCTGTGGGATCAATATCCAGGACTCCATTAGAACCTTTTATTACTTGCGTGATACGTATACTTGCATTATTTTTAAAGGGGGTTTGTCATTTTAAAGATTATTAAAAGTTAAAAACTATTTTAATTGAAGTTATTTTGTTGGGATTAATTTACATATTTGTTATTGTAACTGCCGTGTGTATTTTATATTATTGAAAAATATTTGCAAAACTAACATACTAAATCTACCCGCATAACCTTCCGACAGTGGATTTTGTGTGATCACCTCAACTCGCTCCAGTTCTTAGGGTGGTAGCTAAGTCGGTCACTGGCAAAGTGAATTAGAAGCCATAACAAATGCATCAGTAATGTGCACTCCAGTCTTACGCCTCACCTCTAGGAGAAGCTACGAGTTGCAAGACTCCTTAATCTCTTCTACCCTCTAATTTCTGCGTCATTGTTTGTTTCACTAATTTGGACTGCTCGAGCCTAATCCCTACCACCGGTCCTTTGGCACCAATGGGTCATCCCTCATTCTCCAGCTCCTCTGTCGGCAGACCCTCTTCCACGGGTTTATTCTTCAGAGTCGGTTGAGAACTCTCTGGTTTTCTCTTTTTTGTGCCCCATAAAAGGAGAATTTTAGAAGTCAAAAGCCCGAAGGCCCTCAACAACGCCTCCTCATTCACAGGTTTCTTGGCGCCTGACATCCTTGTCCTTTGCTAAGAATGGTTGAAAGGCAGGAACTTCAGAAATAAAGATGGAAAACACTAATCGCTCCCTATTTATAGAGACTAGCGACATGAAAATCCAAGGAGTACAATTAGTGGAAGTATTTATTACGACATAACTAAATAAAATTTTCATTTAATTGTATTATTTTTATTGCAGTTGTCACTTTCAAATAAGTAAGAGAATCGGAGAACTAAATATGTATATTAGAAATCTGACTTCACGAATCTCAAGAAAATCCAACAGGTTAGACAAAGAAGATATCACAGGACAACATTCTCACAGTCAAAAGATCGAGTCATCAATCATCATTTCAGTCGGTCATATCATAGGATGGACGAATGAAAGTACGATCGAACCAAAGAATGCCCCACACCTAAACTGAAAAACAACTCAACTGATAGTAGGTCGCTAACAGAAATGATCAACGATCGCTCAACAGATCTCTCTCTCGAACTTTTATAAAGATCTCTCATTTAAAGAAAAAACTACTTATCAGATTACGGTGATTCACCCATTGCCTGATGGAATATACTCTTTCTGAGGATAAGAGGTTGACTAAAAGGGTTCCCTCAGAGAACCCAATCGAAAATCTATCAGGCGGACGAAGGATCACTTAGCCAACCGACTGATGATCAAGTGACTAAGTCAGACATTTACGAATATGAAATAGTGTCAGTAGCAGTTATCAAAATGAAGTGACACCAACAACAATTATCATAGTGAAAAGAAATAGAGATCGATTACAAACATGTAAAGATGTAATGACTCATAAATCACTTGTAACGTTCCTATTAAAGAAGGAAAAAACATGTACTTTACTAGACACCCATTACGATCGATAAATAGGATAGTCATTTCTTCAGAAAAGACTACTGATTCTATTTCAAGATAATTAGTACTATTTGTTGTCCACTCTCTTGTTCTCTCTCAATCTCCTTTCTCTATTCTCTCTTATTTCTCTCATCCAACCAACGTTCTATTTCTTGGGCGTGACCCAAAGGTCATTTTGGCATTCAATAATATATCATCTGGTTCAACTCCGATTAAACTAATGAACTTTCAACATTTACTTCTTCCGTTCGGTGTCCGGTCCAACTATCTTAACCTTATATTTAATAGCAAGTATATTAAGCAAGAAATATAGTTGAAACTAATCATATTTGATAGAGAATTTCAAGGCCTTATTTTACAATATATAATTATATTGGTTTCTTCTGAGATGATATTTCAGTGTTACTATCTAGATAATTATATTAGATGGGCGGGTGGCAAGTTTAATGCTTGGTGTTACTATCTAGGTAATTATATTAGATGGGCGGGTGAGCAAGCTTAATGCTTGTTCATGTTCAACTAGTTTAAATATTTTTTTATTCGTGTTCACTTGGTTTAAATATTTTTCATTCGTGTTTGAAACATCTCATAAACTATTTGTTTGTGTTTGGCTCAATTCAAACTTATTTATTTAAATTAAACTAATATTCAGCTCAATTTTAATTCAAACAACTTATTTACTGTAATTTACTTATCATTAATTAAAATAAAATACGTTCACGGAGCTGCCTTGGAATTCATATGCTTAAATTTTTATTCAGATTTTCCTGTGAATGAAAAACTTGGCTTCTGCTTGTACAGAACTTTTCTCACAATTTCTAATCCCACTTTCTGATGTGGGACTAAAATGTGAGATTACGCCATGACTAGGGGTGTAAACGAATCGAACACGAACAAACATAACTTGTGTTCGTGTTCGGTTCGTTTGAAATTTAGTTTGTTTGAAATAAGATCAGGTTTGAAATTGTTCATGAAGTCACTGTACATGTTCGTTTCTTAACGAACGAGCCAAATACAAGTCGAACACAAGCTGTTCGCGAACAACAAGCTAGTTTGACATCCCTAATATTAATATATATGAATAATATATTATATTAATTATATAATTTATATTATATAAATATATAATATCTATATTAGCATATTACTAAATATTAATATATTATGATTATTAATTTATTATATATTATAATTTAAAAAATTTAAACTTTTAAATACCATATATATATATATATATATATAT